TTGCATCCAATCGCGTCCGTGCCGCATGCCATTTATCCATCCATGCATTCCATCCGTCGTGCGTCCGTCCATGGCCATTATCCATGTCATGCATGGCCATCCGTCCGTCCGTTTCATGCGCATCTATCGCATCCATGGCATGCATCCATTGCGTCCGGCGTCCGTGCCATGTCCATGCATCCATCGCGTCCGTCGCGTTCGCATTCCCATCCTATCCATGCCATGCATGCCATGCGCGTCCGTGCGCGTCCAGCCATGGCTCTCCATTCGCATGGCATCAGATTTTTATCCGTCGTCGCGTCAGGCCATCTATCCATGCATGCATCCATTGCCTATCCGTCGCGTCTATCCATGTTATCCATCCATTCATGCCATGCCGTCTGCATTCTCTGTCCCGTCCATCCATCTATCCATCGGCATGCATGCCATCCGTCGTCGCGTGCCATCCATCTCTATCCATGCCATTCCATGCATCGTGCTGACTTCTGTCCCGTCGCATCATTTATGGCGCATGCCATGCAGGACGGACGGATGGATGCATGGATGGATAAATGGATAGACGGACGGACGGATGATGCATGGATGGATAAATGGATAGACGGACGGACGGATGATGCATGGATGGATAAATGGATGGACGAACGGATGGATGCATGGATGGATAGATGGATGGACGGACAGACGGACGGACGGACGGATGGATGAATGGATAGATGTGATGCGCGCAGGAAGTAATTGCAGCATTTTCTCGGCCATGTTGTGATGCCCACATCTCGGCGATGTAGAGCCCGCCTTCTCAAGTCCTACGGTCGTTACCGCTCTCACCTCGACCACCCGCTCACACGCTCGCCACGCGCACACTAGCCGTGGCCGTCGACGCATTAGTACGCTTGCGGAAAAGTCTGTCATTATCTCATATATAATTAGACGAGAACACCTGCTAGGGTTCCTCGACGACATTTGCATTGCCGGCCGTGTCATTGCTCCGAAATCATTCTTGCTCTCGTAAGCCGACCGCTTACTGAAGCCGCCGAAGGCAGCGACCTCAATTATACTCTACGCACTCTCTCTCTCTCTGTCTGCGTATACATTTGCTATACGCCGAGAGTTACGGCAGTACGTGACCGCGGGGCGGGCGGTGACCTGCCTCCGATGTCGCACGGCTACGCTCGGACAGTACTGATGAACAGATGTAAGATTGGACGAACCAGCTTACGTGGGTTAAAGGGGTTAGAGCATCGCTGGCATGCGCCGGCTTCCGTGTAAGCAAATCCGCGTGCGTCGTTCATTTACTCGCTAGCTGTATTATTATTGTTCGGTATACTAGCGGTCGAAGCGGTTTGAAACAGTCATCAGCATGTAAACGCTAGCAGCGAGTAACTATGTAAACGGCGAGTGGACGAACCGAAAGCACTCATTGTCTCATCTCGGCTGTTCCTCATGCAGACCTGTGTGTATGTATGTATGTGTGTGTGGGGGGAGGGGGTGCGTGCGTGCGTGCGTGCGTGCGCGCGCGCGCGTGAGTGCTTGTGTGTGCGTGCAATCATGCGCGAACGGGTGCACTATTTATCAACTAATGCAGGTACTATAGTAATGGTGATAATTTGATCAATCTTTATAAATGAGGTTTATTACCAATCTGTGCATGCGTGTGGTGTGTGTGTGCGTGCGTGGTGTGTGTGTGTGTGTGCGTGCGTGGGTGCGTGCGTGCGTGCGTGTGTTCGCGCGTGTGTGTGTGTGTGTGTGTGTGTGTGCGTGCGTGCGTGCGTGCGTGTGTGCGTGCGTGTGTGTGTGTGTGTGTGTGTGCGCGT